AATAGAGTTTCATGGTCGCTTAGACTTTTTGTGTACTCTACCATACATAGTAGTGTCAAAAACTTTTGGAATTATCCTTCTGGTATGAAGGAAAATTATTTATGGAATGGTCGTTCTGGTATAATAAAATTATGTTCTTGTTTCATGCAATGGTTTTATTTACGGCATGTAAATTCAATCGTTAAGAAACCAGATGCTACTAAACTGATCGCAAAGGAACCATAAGTTGGTGATCCAAATGTTTCCAATAGGTAGATGGAAAGTGGCTGTATCAACAATGTCTCCTCTTAGTAAATGCCGACAACAAGCCATGGTCGATGTTAGTCTAACTGTTATGTGCTACATCTTTGAGAGATGATGTTTTAATATGTTATGAAACCAATCTTTGTCATACTATGATTGCGATGATATCTTTCAATTATGATCGAGACATTTCAGTCTACCTCGGTAATACAAATACATATTAATTGATATTATGTAATCAACATGTATGTTATGTATAAAATGATAAGTGAAAATTTAGAATAATATTTAACTCTTATGTGCCATATAGGAGCAACAAAATGTTCGCAAAATAGGTGGAAGCAATGAGAGCTGAGTCCAACATAAAAAGTTTAATGATTGAACATATCAGCATGTGGCCAAATTATAACAGAATCTTACAAATAAAGGTGTGATGGGGCGGAATATATATATATATATATATATATATATATATATATATATATATATATATATATATATATATATATATATATATATATATATATATATATATATATATATATATATATATATATATATATATATATATATATGATTTTCCCATTTAAGAAAAATTTAAAGGCACATTTTCTATGAAAAAAATGAGAAGGTTGTTTTGAGTATTACGAAAATTTGGGGTGCTTGGAAAAATTCTCACTATCTGCCTATTGTAACAGAAGGTTAGCGAACGTGAGGACGGAGGCACTGATCTGAGACAGCGGAACGGAAGAGCTTTTTCTTCAGGTATCACTATCACTATTTCAATGTTGTTATTCATATATATTATCATGTTTATCAATATTTATCACTACTAGTTCCATTAATCACTAGTTGTTCCAATTTCCTTAATCTGAATCTGTATTTCAAATCTGTTTTTAGATATTAGGATTATCTCACAATTTGATTTTAGTTTCACAATGGACTAACTGGTGGTTACAAATAAGAACAAAAACAATATTACAGAAATAAAAACATGTTTAACTTTTGATTTATATAAATGCAGGTTAACATTAATTAATTATAAATGGATAGAAGCTCGGATTCAGACTCTAAATCGCACGATCATGCCAAGACGAATATTAACCAAAACTCAAATATGATCTCATTACCGCCTCTATCTGAAGACTTGATGTTTCATATCCTTACTTTTGTTCCTATTATTTGCTTGATTAACTCTGCAAGGTATGTTTGCAAAACTTGGGCTGCTATCATTAGCAGCTTTGGTTTTTATGAAGCCTGTGAACGACGGGCACGTTCTAAACAAGGTCTCTATGTTGAAGGTATCATGTCATCAAGTAGTTCCTATTTCTTGGAATTTAAAGATGACGATATGAATGGAGAATTTGAAATGTTTGATTTGGTAACACCTCGAAAAATGGGAGATATAATCACTAGTTGTGATGGCATATTACTGCTTTCAAATGATTCTGGACAAATTTTTGCCGTGAACCCCATTCTCAAACGCTGGTTTAGAATTCCTCCTTTTCCTAATTCTATGCAATTTCCAAATATTGTGCGTCAATGCACTATTGCTCGTGTTCCTGGCACTTTTGAATTCAAGGTGTTTCTAATGAATGTCCTTGAAATTTCGGGTTCTACTTGGTATGTTTTCTATGTGCTCAGAATTGGAGTAGATAACTCATGGAAAGAGATAGCTAGAAGAGAAATTTTCCGTAACCAATTATTTTATCGGGAACAAATTTGTAGTGGAGAAAAGGGTCTTTATTGGATAACAATTGATGAGGTGGTTGCAATAGATGTTGGCGAGGAAATTATTGTGCGAGGATATCCACTTCCCAGTGAGTCAAACAATGAGTTGATGCTTGATGGTTTGGATCCAACGTATTTATGGATGGGAAATCACATTTCTTGTATTGTCAACGAAGAAGGAGATTTTTACAAACCATATAAAGTCTTCATTTTGGATTTTGACTCAGGAAAATGGTCTCTTTATCATGAAATGAGGCCTTTTGATGATGTGGATGCTTATAGTCATCAGCTTCAAATTTTATATGTGACATATCGTTTCTGGATTAAGGACCATATCATCCTTCTAGTATCTCTAAGTGAAAACCCAATAGGTAATAGAGATCCTGCCATAAAAATGAGACACTTTACTTACAATGTCAAAACCAGAGATTTGACTGAGGTCCAGGGCCTTGATTTGAGCAGTACTGCGGTATGGCTTCACCGTAACACTCTAGCTTCATTGCCAAGTACACCTATTGACGTTTGATCGGGGTTTGCTTAACATTATTGATTAATAAAGGTTAGGTTTTGGAAACACTTGATACATGTTTGCTTAGTTTTAATTCTGTTTTGAAAAGGTTTTTATTGACAAATCTTGTGTTCTATGTTGCATTTTCTTATCCTTTAAAGACAAATTATAATTCTTTGACCTGATATGTATGGAGTAAATGCAGAAATTATCCTTGAAATTCTTTGGTTTTTATTTTTGACACATTGAACCTCTTTCTATGAATCATCAAGAGGTGAGGTATTGAACTATTGAAACTTGTAATTTTAATTACAATGACACTTTTAGGTGCTGAAATTGTCGGCACAATGCTCAGTTAAATGTGAAGTAAGATCAAAATAGACACTGCTATCTGTTTTGTTCATCCTTGTTTTAATACAGCAAAATGCATATACAGGGTAACGGGTCTATTACCCACTCTCATTTTTCCAACTTGTGATTCCTTGATTAGCTTCAAAACTAAGTTGGAGAATGTAATCTGCCTTCCCCATTGACACCTCCAAACTTTTTAATATTTTCAAAATATTCTTACTATTATTTACCTAAAAATTTACTATTTCTCCAAAAACTTTCACTTTTTTCATTCAGAAATATTTAGTAGTTTCTTTCAAATTTCTAGTACGGTTTTCTATGCACATTTAAAAATTTACTTGTATACATAAAAAATTTGAAAAAATTTAATACAAAATATCGGAAAATTTGAAAAATACAGTACAAAATATCAAAAATTGTTGAAATTTCCGGTAACCAACAAAAACTTTTGAAAATTTGAAAATTTCCGATATACTGAAAATTTTGTCTATATTTGAAATTTCGGTAACAGCCCAGTAATTAGAAAAAAAATATTTGTGCGATCTAGAACTTGGCAGGGTCATCTACGGATTCGTGTAACGATTGTACGCAGTTTTTCACAACTGACAAAGTATGTTTTCTATGTAACAAGTTTAAATTTAATATTTTCGTGCCCTTATATGATGTTGATAATATACTTTTTATGTGATGTAAACGATATATATTTGATAGCCGAGCTGAAGTATTAGCATGTCCACAACATATTGGCAAGCAACATAATATTATAGTTGTGACTGTTCGTTCTGATACTGCAAATTGCCAGTGAGGTAGGAAAGATAAATTTATTATGGATTATAAAAAGAAAAATACATATGAAAGTAGTAAATCTTCAGAGGGCATTTATAGTATGAAAGTGAGATGTCTTTTTAGGCTGAGATTTGCGTCAAGTGGTATTGGTTGGAAGGTGATGGTTAGGTGTGAGTTTCTTAATCATAAATTATCTGAGGATTTAGATGACCATGACATATTGAGTCGTCTAAAAGTTCTTGAGAGACACTTTGTGAATGACATGACAAAGTATAACATGGTTCCACAGTAAATAATTTCTGCCTTGAAAGACAAAATCCAAAAAACCTCACCATTGTTACCCAAGTGTATAAAGTTAGAGCTACATACAATGCGAGCAAGAAAGGTACATTGATGGAAATGAAAATGTTGTTGACTCTTATTCATAGAGAAAAATATATGTGTTGGATAAGAAACAGGGAAGACTCAAATGTTGTTGCTGATATCTTTTGAACACATCCTGATTCAGTGAAGTTGTTGAATATGTTTCACATGGTGTTGATTCTTGATTGTACATACAAGACATTGGTAATGTGCATCTTGATCATACATTGATATCATTTCGACATACTTTGGTTTATTATATTTTTGATTATTTGAATCGTGAACATACAGGTACCTGTTACCACTACTTGAGATTGTTGGCGTCACGTCAACAAAGTTAACGTTTTCGGTAGCATTTGCCTATTTGGAACATGAAAGGAAGGAAAACTTCACATGGACACTGGAGAAGCTCAAAGAGTTGTTTTCTTCTGAAAATTGCTATCGAATATTGTGGTGACGGGCTAGGAACTTGCCTTGATGAGTGCAATTGAAGTCGTGTTTTCAAATTTAACACATCTGTTATGTTCATTCCATATTACAAAAAGTGTTAGCATGAAATGTAAGAAGTATGTTAAATAAAAAAGACAAGAACATCTCATGGATCTTTGGAACAACATCATTTATGCTAATAGAGAAACTGAGTATCTCGCACACTTGCAGCACTTTGAGACTGTTTGTGCTGATATTCATTTATTTGTTAAGTATGTGATTGAAACATGGTTGACACCTTATAAAGAAAGGTTTGTGCCTGCTTAGACTAATATAGTCACTCATTTAGGGAACACAATAATGAATATGTACACAGACTTCTTTTCGATATTATTACTAAGCATAATTTATCATATTGGCTCATTATGGTTTAATTATTTTGATTTAGGATGGAGTCTGCTAATTGGAAACTGAAAAACATGTTGACTACAAACCGGAGAGATTTATGCTGAAGCTGGGATACTGTGAACACCATATTGAAGTTGCAGTAAGGTTCAATCAGGGTGTCATTTCAAAAAAATATTGTCAACATTGAGCAACGGTATAACACTCCATTCTATGCAACTTGCACGATTTTGTTTCAAGGCAGTGTATACAACACATAGGGATGAACTAAATAGGGTAAAATTTGTTGGTACAAGCAAAGATATTTGTGGTTGCTTCATTAGAATTACACATGAGTAACCTTGTCTGTGTCAACTTACTGGTTTCCAAATACAAGCAATTTTTTTTAAATACATGCATTGATGAAGATGGAAGAGAGGAAGATTAGAAACTGCTTTTATCATAGATATATTTATGTTTTTTGTTATCATAGCATCTATTTTGGTGCTTTGTTATTATATAATTGACATTATTTTGTTGTTTTGATATGTTTGTACGACTTGTTATTTTGACGATATAATTGAAATTTTCTTTGATGTTTCTTTAAATTTTGTGTGCTGCATATAGAAAGTATTACAAAAATTTGATCAATAATAAATATAAAATATAGGAAAAAATTTTGTAAAAGAAAAGAGACATATAACAACGGCTAATTTCGTCCTATAGCAACAGAAATATGTGATGGATAAAGTTATTAAAGTGTAATTAGTTCTCGCTATAGCTCTCATATTTTGTCCAATGCCTGAAAATTGCCATTAGTATAAGATATTGGGACGAAAATTTGTCGTTGATATAGTGAATTATAGTTGACGGAAGCAAAAGTCCGTTGGTATAAGGTATTTGATCTTTACCAACGGTTTTTAGACCTTTACCAATGAATTTTTTCCTTTGGTAAATGAAAATTTTATTGTAGTGTATGGATAATCTCATGGGCATGGTAAACACAGATCTTAAGGTTTTTACCGGATTATCGCAGGCAGCACACACAGCTGGGGACCTATTTAGATCATTGATTTTACATTTGTATTACCTGTATATTTTGTGACTCCGATTATTAAGAACCGTATTTTGTATTACATAATATCTTGTCGATTACATGTTTAGAAGATAAACACAAAACTTAACACATTACAACTAACATAAATTAACAATAAATAACAAATCCTAGACACTACCAAATGATTCTTGATGTAACACCCCAATTCTTAGTAATTATGAATTAAATTAAATTAATTGACTTATGTGATTTATTTGATTTAAATGAATTATTTGATTTATTTAATTTATCTGAGTTAATTGATTTAATTGATTTAATCTAGATGTGTGATTTATTGAATTAACTAAACTATAATTGATTTATTCTATTTGGTAGAATAGTGTATAATTGCTAGATTAATGAGTTGAGCCTAATTATAGGTGTGTGAATAGAAAGTGAGAGTGAGTTGGGTAAAACCCAATAGAAATGATTAATTGTTAGGATTTTAGAGAAGAGAAGTTAGTAAGAGAAGGGAAAGGGGGAAATTGAATGAACAAAATGCATCCAATGAATATGGAAGGATGTGAAGGAAGACATGGTGAATATTCAAGAGATATTGGATGAACAAAATGCATCCATTGATGCTTCTACGGTGCGCTTTGGGTTTAGTTTATACTTTTTTATTTTATGGGTTCAGTTTATACCTTTTGATTTTGAAGTTCTAACGTTTTTGAATATGTTATTTGAAGTTCTTCTTTTGAAATTCTAAATGAATATGAAAGGATATGAAGGAAGAAATGGTGAATATTCAGGAGATATTAGATGAACAAAATGCATCCATTGATGTTTCTATGGTGCATTTAGGGTTTAGTTTATGCGTTTTGATTTTATGGGTTTAGTTTATGCGTTTTGATTTTATGGGTTTAGTTTATACCTTTTGATTTTGAAGTTCTAAATTTTTTGAATATGTTATTTTGGATATATCCAGGACATCCCACGACCAGTCCCTGCTATTCCATCCGAGGGCGTTGACAAATGGTTAGTTAGTCATGTTTTTGGGTCTGTCTGTGCTATTCGATATCGTGTCGTGGAAGTTCAGTTTCCTCCGGAGTCTGTGGATGGGTACTTGGAATAGTACCTTGTTGTATCACACCCTCACATCATCCCACCTAGGTAGCATAAAGACGATATCAGATCTTCTCATGTTGAGGATTCTCATGTCGAATCGTCTCATCCTTGACCTTCTCATGATGTAGTACCTTTTGATGTTGGGGTACCTTCTAATGAGGTGTCTCCGCCTCCACCATCTCCACATGGTGCAAATGATGCTTAGTGCCTGCAGGTGTTAGTTGGGAATTTCGACCATTGGCGAATCCCCAACAAACAAGAGAAAGTCTTGGAAGAGTAGTGTTTCGATCACACTCAAGGACTTAGAGAAATTTTGACTGTTGAAATAAGTTATTCGACACCAATTGCTTCAACCAGCCAGATAGTGTCGCGAACAAGGACTTAGTGAAAATTTTGGGGATTTATGTAGATTTAGGGATTTTTGTACATTTAGGGTTTTTATGTAGATTTAGGGCTTTTCATATTTTAGTGTTTTGACGTACTCTATTTGAAACTCAATATAGGGATAATGGATAAATTTCTAAAGCTCAAAATCAATCAC